AGTGGTAGTGATAACCAGACATTGAACAACCGGCCCTTAGTTTAATTTATTAGATATAATAAATAAACGCAAACATTATAATAAAATAACATGCAGATACACCATTGTACTGAAAAGTGTACACTTGGAGTATACCTTAACTACACATATGCATGTATGTAATTTATATGTATATACATATATATTTCCACCATAATTCATATATTTGTGCATATTCCTACATTCCTTCCAACCGAAAAGCATTTGCTGGCATTACTTACATATACGTGTATACATATGTACATATGTATGCTCTATGCATAACAAAATACATACCCAAAACAAACGCGAAAAATATCTCCCATGAAACGTCGTTGAAAATTTTTCGCGATAAGCTGTTGTGAGTGATCGCGAATGGATTACTTGCATCGTTTTTCTCATTTATGAGAGGCGACATCGGCAATGCTCGGACTTCTCATATTCGAGTGAGAGGAAATTTCTTTACTTTTTTCGATCGCGAATGAAAAGCAGCGAAATTTTTTTTGTCGATCGCATTCCGATTGTGAAAGATGATAAATTTGTTTGCATTTTTCACTCGCGATAAAAGAATACAAAAATAGAGTTGGAATATTATCGATCGCGATAAATCTCATAAAAGAATGAAAACGAATAATCATAAATGAGAATTTCCGAACCCTGAACAGTAGGTACATTCCCCAAAGAGTTTTTGGGGAATGATGCTGAAGTGACAGTCCTTGGCCAGGTATAAGTCTATGTTTACGTGTCTTTCATCGCCTAAGTTTTTCTTAGGCGTCTTCTTTCGTCAGATTTTTTTTTACGCCGTCAAAACACTAGCGCGCCTTTATTCGTGTCTAGTAAGGATATGTACATATCGATCCTTAACCACCAAAATAACGTAAGCGACAATTTTTTACATTTTTTTTTGATGCAGAAATGCATCTAGATGCTCTAGGAATATTTCTGCGTCAAAATGAAAGTTATTTTGGCGGTTAGGGCTCGAATGTACATACATAAGTATGTATATTTGTGTGGAAATTACTACTCATTTTTTGACCATTTACAACTTTATTTGTCAATCAATTTTCCTCGTTCATAGCTTGATGTTTTTTGTAAAAGAACAGGCTTTAACACAAATCAAAGGAACTATTTATAAATGTTTTTCCTGTTAAATTTTTATTTTTTTTAATCACAGTGCAAACTTAGAATGAAAAATCTTGCGAAAATTACCTAACTAGAAACGCGGTGTACAGTGCCGTAGTCTATGAAAATTAAGTTCACGTGTTTCGGCGTTTTTTGTGTCATTTCAAAACTTGAAATTTTCCCCTCAGTGCAAAGTAACACAAAAAAAACGGTGAGACACTTAAACTTAATTTTGGGTCGTAGAATGCGGATCTGTTTACCAATATTTTCATTTTAATTTGGTATGGCGCATGAAAAAAAAATTAAAATTTAAGAAACTGTTACTCATATGCCATGTACGAGTACGACCTTGTACAATGTGGCGTATTAGTAACGTTACTTCCTGGCCATCCCACAGTAGATAAAGCTAAAAACCCTTCCAAAAAGCCTCCTTTCTTTTTGTATGAAGTGGCACAAATTGAAGGCATTCTGTTTTCTTTTTCCATAAGGGCTTTTGTAGCATGTATGTTAGAAGGGCTTTTGTAGCATCTAAAATAGAATAGTAGGTCTTTTGGAGGAGTTTTTATAAAGCTGCTTCTTTAATTCATAAAAATCATACTTCTTTAAGGTATTTATTTAAGGTTCATATCAAACATTTTTATTGCAATCTAAAATACATTTTAAATTAAATTGTAATTTTAAATAAAATAAATTTACCCAATCGCGTAAATTGAAATAAAAAAGCCTTCATGCCTTCATGGAAGACTTTTCAACCCATCTTGGGTAGGCCTTTTACAATGGCTTCTCTTAAGAAGGCCCATCTAAATTATCTTCTGGGCTATTTTTTACAAATAATTAGTGCACATTTTCATTCAACCATTCAAAACTTGTTTATTTATCCATCGATTTTCATCGCTAGTAATTTGATTTTTGGGAAAAACAGGCAAATTTAAAAAAATTACAAATGTTTTGTTATTTGTTTATCTTTAACCCACTTCACAAAAAGGAGAGAGGTTATCAATTCGTCGGAATAGTTTTTGTTTTGTGTGTTACCGCATAACTTAAAACCCCGTTAACCGATTTCGATAATTTTTTAAATGAAAGATGTTACTTCACAGGTGGTCCCATATTAATTTGTTTTAAATCCGATCATGGGATCATGAAGAAATGAAAGATAATCTTAAATTTGTATATGAGATTTGAAATCGATTTTGTTTTTTTGCTTGTTTTCTTTGATAAAGTTCGAATATTTTTTTTCATAAAAATGAAAATTTCTTGGGAAATGACCTGATCTGGAAAAACGGTGAACAGATCGGTAACACTGCTCAACAAAGTTATGTTCCGCAAAATATTGTAGTTGATTCTTATAGAATTTTTCTCGTAGAGTCCGAATCTGACCGTAAAGATATTGGATTGGCTCTAGTTTTCGAGCAACTTAGGTTCAAAGGTGCCGTAAAACGCATTTTTGGGCATTTTCGAGCCTCTGTAACACAATAAATTAATGCAATATATCTGTCTGTAGGGAAGGATATGAAAGCCTAAACACTGCCCTTTAATACTCAAAACCAAAAAATTATCATCCTAACACTGAAAGCAATTGGAAACAGTTTTTTTATACGAGTAAGCACGATTTTTTTTTACTCTTGCTTTGCCTGTTTTTGATCACTTGTGTTAAATGAATCTGAGGCGCTGGTAATTTTTAAAGTGGCTGAAATTGAAGCTCAAACTTTCATTGAACACAATAAATTAATGCAATATATCTGTCTGTAGGGAAGGAGCCTAAACAACTGCCCTTTAATACTCAAAACCAAAAAATTATAATCCTAACACTGAAAGCAATTGGAAACAGTTTTTTTATACGAGTAAACACGATTTTTTTTACTCTTGCTTTGCCTGTTTTTGATCACTTGTGTTAAATGAATCTGAGGCGCTGGTAATTTTTAAAGTGGCTGAAATTGAAGCTCAAACTTTCATTGAACACAATAAATTAATGCAATATATCTGTCTGTAGGGAAGGAGCCTAAACAACTGCCCTTTAATACTCAAAACCAAAAAATTATAATCCTAACACTGAAAGCAATTGGAAACAGTTTTTTTATACGAGTAAACACGATTTTTTTTACTCTTGCTTTGCCTGTTTTTGATCACTTGTGTTAAATGAATCTGAGGCGCTGGTAATTTTTAAAGTGGCTGAAATTGAAGCTCAAACTTTCATTGAACACAATAAATTAATGCAATATATCTGTCTGTAGGGAAGGAGCCTAAACAACTGCCCTTTAATACTCAAAACCAAAAAATTATAATCCTAACACTGAAAGCAATTGGAAACAGTTTTTTTATACGAGTAAACACGATTTTTTTTACTCTTGCTTTGCCTGTTTTTGATCACTTGTGTTAAATGAATCTGAGGCGCTGGAAATTTTTAAAGTGGCTGAAATTGAAGCTCAAACTTTCATTTAAGAGAACATAACACAGGACAGCAAAATGTATGTTGAATAAAATATTACAGGCGATCCTTATAGGATTTGTCCCATAGAGCCCGAATTTGATCTTGAAAATTTTTAATTGGCTCTAGTTTTTAAGCAGCTTAAGTTTGAAGGTGTCTTACTCATCTTCATTTCCACTGCTAGAGTCAGTGCCCATCGGTATTTGGTGATTAATTCATGAAACCTCGAGTTGTACTTCAAAGATTGGTACAGGAATTTCTGCAGTATGTGGATAAAGACCGTTAACTTGTTTTCAGGATTAAAGGGCAATGTTTAGGCTTTCATATCCTCCGACACAGACATATATGTTGCATCAATTTATTGTTTTACAGAGGCTCAAAAATTTCTAAAAACGCGTTTTTAGGCACCTTTAATCCTAAGTTGCTCGAAAACTAGATCCAATCTAATATCTTGGAATTTTTCATTGGGCGTGGTTTTAGCGTGGCAGGACCCACACCCAGCGCCCGCGAAGTTTTACCCCTTCTAACTTTAGTTCGCTCCCAAACGGGGTTTTGGTTGCTACCCAGAGGATATATAAATATCCGGACGTTCTGAGCTGCGATTTGAACCTAAGTTGCTCGAAAACTAGAGTCAATCTAATATCTTCGTGGTCAGATTCGGATTATAGGAGAAAAATCGTATAAGAATCGGCGATAATATTTTAGTCAACATAACATTGTTTAAATTTTGTTGGCCCGTGTAATCTACGACAAAATCTTAAGCTTACATGTTTCGCCGTTTTCTTGTGTCATATCAAAACTTAAGATTATCCTTACAGTGTTATTGCATCGTGGGTATTTGACTCAAACAACCTCATCTTCTGACAAAGCATATCATTATGTTTACCAAACAAACAACTACTATCAAAATAATTAATTGCAAGATAATTACCGAAAGTTGGATTAAAAATATTAAATGAAATGGTACGATTTGGTACGCACGCCGTCGAAGTTTTTTTTTTTGTGTCACCCGAAATTGGCTTGCGTACGTTTGCATTTGATTTCATTGAGCAAAACGGCAAATCAAAATGCCACGCAGAATAAAAATTGGAAATTGTTAGCTTCATACGCACGCCGTTCAGTTTCGGTTGGTCCCATACAAGTTGTATTTGCATGAACAATTTTTGACAGTAAATTGGCGGCGTTCGTCAATATTAGGTTAGCCTGTGAGGGAAACAAAATGGACTTATTCTAGTGAAACGGGCCATATACATACATACATACATATCGCACACCGTCTTCAAAAGAGTCACAACTAAAAATGTTTGTCGGAAAATGCGAAAGACTATTTCTTAGCACATGATAATAATATGGGCAAGGGCGACTTTACCTTAGGTTTTTGTTTTTATCAAATTATAACAAAAATTTGCTCCAGCTTTTGCTGAGAGGTAATAAAAGCTCAGTGTACATTTTTAGCGCATAATCCCAAAAATGCCAAATTTTGAGTTGTGACTCTGATGAAGACAGTGTGCGACATGTATGTACGAAATGATCTACAATTCGTTAATATAGTTCCCCCCTTAGAAAAAGTTGAAGATTCAAGATCTCGTTTGTCTGCACAACGACGCATTGAGTTTGACTCGAAATTAGGAGCAAAAGCTGAAGATTATTACGACTCCTATGACGCGGATTTAATTGTAACAATTGCAAACACTCCGTTGTCACCAATATCAAGTGAAATTGCAAGTCCAATTGAAATTAATAACAAATTTAGAGATCATAAACCAGCTACTGAAATTGATGGCTGCGGTGTGGGAATAACTTATATGGTGAGAAAATATTCCGATATATTATATTTTTACTTTATTTATTTTTTTATTTTTGCAGCTTAAAGAAATTGATATACCCAAAGTGGTTGTTAATAAACCGGATGACTTAGATTTGCTTTTACGGACGAATACTACTGATCCTAGACTGTTAAGATATTTAAAAAAGGTTTGTGCTTTGCATGTAATTATATCTAAATCATAAATTAATGTTTAAAGTGTTCACATAAGTCTAAAATAATCTTTATTCGCAACAATATAGAAACATATCTATCGCCCGCTAGCTGGAAGCCGTTATAACTAAAAATAAATTCGAAATCCTAGAAGAATGTCTTAACAGCTTTTAGTTAAGCTTTCCGTTGAACAAAAATAAGTGTAATATGCACAAAATATGACAAGTATAATCGTATCCCTAACTTTATCAGTAAGGTGAAAATGAATAAAGATGTCAGAAAGACAAATTAGACAAAAGAATGCCTGATAGACATTTTTGTATACCTAATGGTGCATTTACATGGTATGAAGCCATATGAACTGTTGACACGCTAAAATAGAGGGACTACATGTTCCAATGAGGAATTCATTGATATCGAGTGGGATGCATATAATACATTTTTTCATATAAAAAATTATGGGGAGATACTGTAAACATACTGTTGTGAAACTGTTAAGCATATGAAATTAAAGCAAGTTGGATTTTCATACATCTTCCCATAAAAAGTTTAACAGATGTATCTCTCTCAAGGAGGTTTTTTCCGATTTTGATGCCTTTTTAATATAAAAACCCACCGAAAAGGAAGAAAGCGGCAACTCCGCCATTCACATACATGTCAAAAGTATGAATTTTAAAAATTAAAAACAATAAACAAACAAATTCAAAACAAAGAAATTCTTTGTAATAGAACTTTTTAAATAGAAGCCACTCACGTTTCTTCTCTTCTTCTTTTTTGACCGCCTAAGCGATTTTGGCCGAGTTCAGCAAAGCACGCCAGTTGTTTCTCCTCTGTGCCCACTGACGCCAATTGGAAACGCCAAGTGAAGCCAAGTCCTTCTCCACCTGATCTTTCCATCGCAGTGGGGGTCTCCCTCTTCCTCTGCTACCACCAGCGGGTTCCGAGTTGAATACTTTCAGAGCTAGAGCGTCGGTGTCCATTCCAACGACAGGACCAAGCCAAAGGAAATTCAAACAAAATTTTTCAATTTGACATAAGAAGCCGTGAGGCGAAACACATACACAAAATCAGCTGATCTAGTAACACCACCTTATATAAATTCGCCTTGAAAAATACGAAACACGTTTTCTGTCAGATAGCTAACATGGCGGATAAGAAGTGAAACTACCTTCTAAAAATTATTTTATCATGGGGAGAAGTATACATGCCTTCTATAATTTTGACTTATATGTATATTTGGCAAGTATTTGTGTAAACAAAAAAAAATACACATTTTCATTTCTTTGCTAGCTTGGAAAATATTGTAACTTTACATGTCATATGACAACTCTGTATATATGTATATGTATATTGATACTTGGCAGCACAGTTAAATATATCGAGCTGTCATTATTCATTCTTTTTATAATTATTCATTCTGTAGAATCATCGTTCATACAACTTAAATTAAATGAAATATAATTATCTGAATTGAACAACCTGTGTAACACTTCTTCCAATTAAACCACAACAATTCTGGCGACGAGGTGAACTATCGGCATACAACAATTCTGGAAATAAAATGGATGCAAAGCAGTTCGCAGACTTCATGGCGATCCAGCGGCAAATTCTGGAAAAAGTGTCCACCAACACGGCAGCAGGAACGGGTGGGGTTACAAACCTTAATCTTAGTTCCAATACAGCACTAGTGCCGAATTTCGAACCATTTGACGCCGCAAAGGAATCGTTCCGTAATTACAGACTACGTTTCGAAAACTACACTAAAATGAAGAACGTGCACACGAACAACAAATATTGTGCAAACCTTCTACTCAACTCAATTGGCGCCAAAAGTTTTAACATTGCTATGACCTTGGCTTGTCCTAAAAGTCCGAGTGAACTTGAATATAGTGAACTGGTCACACTTCTACAAGCGCACTTATCACCGCAACAGAACGTTCTAGTCGCGCAACATAAATTTTTATCGAAATATCAAGCGGAAAGTCAATCAATAGCTGAATACGTAGCAGCTTTACGAACGGACATTGGAGATTGCGACTTCACATGTTCATGCAAAAAACCGGTAGCAGATATTTTTCTTCGAGCCCAGTTCGAGAGCAACTATTACAAAGCCAAAAAGAGGTAACCGCGTTTACAGACATCGTCGAAAAGGCACGTGCATTAGAAGCAGCTAAAACCGATTCAAAAGAGCTCTCACAAAAACCGAATCATTCAACAACAGGCGAAATCAACAAAGTAAATGGTAAGGAAGAAAAACACAGGTATCAAAATAACGTTAACCGGTCATCAAATCAGAACAAATCGAACAAAAATAAACAAAGTATTGATTATAAATCATTGGGTATTGATGGGCTGTGCTTAAGGTGCGGCAAAAATGACCATTATGCAAAAAATTGCGTTAGCAAACGCAATAACCTCAAATGTTCTGAATGTGGGAAAACTGGCCATGTGGCCAAAGCTTGCATAAAGGCACGTATGAATAATAAGCAAAGTAGGGAAACAGCAAACCAAATTGACAAGTGTCACAATGGGATTCTATCGATTACAAAGATCCAAGATATTTATCAAACAAATTCAAGAATATCAGATAGATTTTTCGTCACAGTTAGTATCGAAGGCAGACCTGTACAATTTGAAATCGATACCGGGTCTGGCTATACATTTTTACCCAGAGACATATTTGCGAATCTAAACATTAATGTTCCGCTATTGTCATCAAACATAGCATTTCGATCATACACAAAAAACGTTTTCGTTCCCAAAGGGAAAATTTTGGTACAAGGAGAGCATAAAGGTAATGCGATAACAGATGAAATATATATCGTGCCAGAAGAGTATACAGCGCTCCTAGGGCGTAATTGGATTAGGAAGCTCAACATAAATTTGAACGAAATCAACTCTGTACATTTAACAAATCCTTCAAGCGATATAGATATTATCAAATTATTGAGCGATCAATTTAAATCAATCTTTGAAAGCAAAGTTGGTTGCGTCAAACAATACACAGTGTCGCTTAAGTTAAGGGATGGGGCAAAGCCTATTTTTAATCGTGACCGTGAGGTTCCATATGCCTTAATTCAGAAAGTTAATCAAGAGCTTGACGAGTTAGAAATGGCGGGAATAATTTCAAAAACTGAGATTATCGATTGGGGATCCCCCTTGGTAGTTATACCAAAGGTGGGCGGAGGTGTACGCTTATGTGTCGACTATAAAGTAGGAGTAAATGAACGTCTAGTGGACGCACATAGTCCGATAAGGAAAACAGAAGACATATTCAATTGCTTACGTGATTCAATGTATTTTTGTAGGCTAGACCTATACAAAGCTTATTTACATATACCAGTCGATGAAGATTCGAGCATAGTACAAACGATATCTACACACCGCGGCACATACAAGGTGAATCGTTTAACCTTCCGTATTAAGACGGCACCATCCGAGTTCAACCGAATACTTAATCAAATACT